CTTGGCTGGAGCATAACAGTGAAGGGAGTGGTGTGATTTTTCTTACTGGCATGTTGCTGTGCATCATGATCTGGCTTCAGAGCAACCTTCTCCAGTGCCAGCATGAGAGGAGGTGGGAGGTGAGTGGGGCTGGGTTACCTGTGTCTGTGCATTTGCTGTTCTGCCCCACTGCTGTAAAATAATAATCACAGCCCTGGGAGGTTATAAAACAGTGTACTTGGGGTTGTGCTGTGCCCAGAGCGCAGCGTGGGGCCCCTGAGGCAGAGGAGCAATGTGGTCCTTCCCTGTGACCAAAAACCACGTCTGAGAAAGCCCCAGATGCCATGACCTGCCACACTGGGTTTCACTCATTCTGCAAAGATTCCAATGCCCTGCCAGGCCTTGGATTGTGCAAAGAATCCAGCCCCCTGCCAGGGCCTGGTAAATGCAGAGCCTGGGCAGAGCAAAGAGTGACTGCTGTGTTTAATTTGTGCTGTGTACTTGACTTCACACCTTTCCCCCTGCCCTCACCCCTCTGCTGTGCACACAGGCAAACCTGGGCTGCCCTGACAGGGAGCTGAGCACAAGGGCATCCCTGCTGAGCCACATCCCAGCTCGGGCTCTGGGCCCCTCTCCCTCCTCTGGCAGATGAGGGAACTCTGTGCTTGTGCTGGTAAAAATTGGAGAGGAAGCTGTGGCCCACAAGCTGCTGGGATTTGTGCTGACCCGTTCATTTGCAGGCAGGATCCTAGCTCAGAGTGAAATATTGCTTTCTTCCATGGGAGGCAACTCAGTGACACAGAATTTTCCAGCCAAAAGATGGGATCTGCCTGTTTTAGTTTGGGCTGTGTGTAGACTTGCATTTGTAACGTCTGCAACTGAGATCTGAGACAATTGAACCTGCCTAATTGTTGCTGTGTGTATATGCTGCGTGTGTGCCAGCATGGGTTATGCATCCTCCCTTCTCCTTGCTCCTGCTGCCTGGGGAGTGCTGTTTCTGCCACGCTTAAATGTGTCATATTTTTATTGAATAGCAACATCCCAACCAAAGAGATAAATACAACACAGGCATAATGAATCATGGGCTCTGTGGGCTTGCTCAGCCCCAGGAGGCTGGAGCAGGCCAAGGGATGAAACACTGTGGTCTAACTCTTGTTTTCTTCACTTTTGCCTGCTAAGTGCACCCATGGGAATTCAGAAAACAATATTCATCCTGCCTGTGCAAGAATCCAGGGATGCTAAAGAGGCCAGGAGAAAAGCATGTGCAAGGGTCAAGAGGGCTAAGCGGAATCATGCTCAACATCCCTGTCTGAGGAGGGGTCTGGCTGCTGCTGCTGCCTGGGGAGCCTGGCCAGGGGCTGGAGGACACTGATCTTACCAAAAAATCCTTAGTTGGGCTGAACATGAGCCTCTAACAACACTCCCACTATGAGAAAAATAAATGAAATGAAGAATACAGACAGAAGTGCAGCCACTTGCAGGCTTCAGGACAGATGTCAAAAGATAAGGCCTGGCTGGGGAAGAACCAGAGATGGGCAGCAAGGAAGAGTGGAGGACTTGGAAACATGACCTGTGAGGGCAGGAGGAATGACCTAGCATTGGTGAATCCAGAGGAATGAGGACTAGGGAGACCAGCTAAGCCTTTCAGTGTATAAAAGACTACCACAGAGTAAGGCATTACATTGGCCTCCCACTGGGGATAGAGGAAAACTACAATAATATTTTTGAAAAGACATTGAGAAGAACTTTCAAACTGCAGGATAAATAAGGACTGGAAAAGATACAGGTTGGCATATCTCCACCATCAGTTGTTTTTAAGACCAGGTTAGACAAACCTCTGTCAAGACTGCAGGTTTTGGCAGCAAGGAAGGACAATGTGGGGTGTTAAGATTAATTTCAGTGGGTTTTTTTTGTTAGCTGGTTTCACTGTGCAGAAGCCAGAAGCTTCTGGAGAAGATTTCTGCCTTTGCACAGGGTGAAGATATTCCTGCACATCCTGAGCATGGTGGGACTTCCCTGCAACTGCTCTGCCCAGCCTGTGTGGTTTCCCTGCAGCTCAAGGACAGTCAGGTCAGGCAATCGAGGAGGTGGCAGCTTTTTGTCATAAAGCTATTACAGCTTTAAGCAAAGAGCTAAGAAATTGAAGATGTGGCAAAATATTTTTTCGTGTAAAAGCCACTCAAACCCACCTTTATGGGCGTCTCGGTAAAGGAAGGAGCCTTTGAGGAAGATTCAGTTTAGAAGCCCCATAAAATCATTGTTCTCGAACTTCTAATATTAGCAGGCACAGAGCATAAATATTAATCACTTCATTGAGCAGCTGAGTGCTGCTCTGTGATGTTTCCAGCACTGCACAGCTAAGTGTGCCCCTTCCCCACTGATTCATGACTGGATGTCACACACATACAGCCCAGAAAATCAGTAGTGCTGGGACACACAGCAGCAGCTGTCAATGCTGAGGGTGGTACAGGATGAACCTGAACTGGCCTGGGATGTGGCTGGGACAGGAGAAGAGCATGCTTGGACAAGAGCCACCTTTATATGCTGTTATTCTGACTCTGCCCGTCTCTTTAGAGTGACAAATCAAGAGGGGTGACGATGACTCCCAGCCCTTTTCCCTGAAGTGCTTGCTCTGTAACATAGGAAAAAGTGACTTGGATGAAGATTCTGGTGCCAGCTTTGTTCTCCAGAAGGAAGCTCTGCTGGAAGGTAGGAGTCATGAGCCTGAAAAAGCCAGCACTGCTCAACACAGCCCTCTGGAATTTGGATGCTCTCTCTCACTCCCCCTGTGGTCTCCTGTTGCTGCTTGCCTGGGGGCATGGCAAGGTGAGTGGGTGAGGTTCACCCTGCAGAGGCTCCTGGGCTCCAGCACATTGCTTTTGGTTATCTGCAGATTTTGTAAGAGCTTCCAAAGGTAGGGGAAGGGTTTTCTCCACCATGTGTGGTCCCTGTTCAGGTACTCTCATGATCTGAAACCCCTTTACAGCAAGAAGGGAGGGATGAGCAGTTTGTGTCTGTGTGGGTGTGGGTGTTGGGGAAGTGTTACAGTGGTTTGAGGATTTCTGTACTATCCAGGCAGGTGAAATTGTTAAATTATGCTTCTTTCTGAACACAGCACAGCACAAGGGGAATCTGAGCTGGAGCCAAGCAGCAGTGAGAAGGGGACTTGTGCAAGAGGGGAGTGGGTAGAGGGAAGAAGCAGAAAGCAAGCCCCGTGTTCCTGACCTGGAGCCCTGAAGGGGAGGGCAGGGGGCTTTTGTGCAGCTCCTTGCACTCACAGGTGGTACCTACCTCCACACGATCTAAGTACAAAAAAACTGAAAAGATGCTGAGTGAAGGATCTCAGCCCAGGCTAAGACCTCTCTGAGCAAACATCCACATAAACATACCCCAATTAGTGGTAAGTGTGGGCTGGCCAGCTGCCCCTCTCACTTATGTCCCTACTCGAGAGAGCCGCAGGAACTCATCTGCCTTCAGGTTCAACACATATGCAAGGCTTAACCACCTTTTAAATGTCCTAAACCACTCTGTCTGTCCAGGAAAGAGTCTGTGTGCTGTGAACCCACAGCTTCAGTGCTCATGCTCCAAGAGCAGCACTCTCAGCCAAGGGTTCCGAAGGGCACGGGCTGTGTAAACCTACCCAAGACCTGAGTCCTGCACCTTCTCCAGGCAAGCAGGCTCTGCCTTCCTGATTCTCCAGGGCAGTGCATCAGACTGCTTGCAGGGAACATCCCATCCAGCCCCTCTGCATCCAGGGAGAGGCACCGGGAGACACCAAAGCCTCTCCCCATCAGCTCTTCCTCCAGCCCCTGGCTCAGACTGCTACCAGCCATAATGGGAGAACCTGGGGAGTGCACATGGTTGCAGTGTGAACCTGCTGGCTATTTATTTTCTGAGGGTTTATTTTGTAATACTTTATGTATCCTTGCAGGTGTTTCATGTTCTCTGGAGTTGGAAAGCCCTTGTGAAGACCTTGCTCCGTCTAGCCAGAGCAGAGAGGCACATTGTGCGAGGGAACATCATCTGCAGCCAAGCTGGGAGTAATGCACAGTGAGATGCTGATTTTGGACACAAACTTGCAGGATATAACCCCACATCATATGCTGACTCTTTCAAGTTGGAAAAACATGGATGAACCCCAGAAACAGCTTGCTTGCTCTTTCCAGTTAAGCACTGGAAGCACCGCAGCCGAGACAGGCACAGTGGTACCGTGTCCTGTAGCCCCAGTGGGGACTGGCACTGATTTAAGCAGGGCACTTGTTCTGGCTTGCTTGGCCAGGGCTCAGAGTTTGAGCTTTTATGATCACAACAATCAGGTTGCCTTGCCTGGACCCTGATTAGTACATAGCTTGGCAAAACGTACTGCACGCACTGATCCCTGCTTGTGCTTTTGTTTGACAGAGAGGAGGCCAAAAGTAGTTTAAGGCTGTAGCCAGTCTCAGGCAGGCAGTAGCCATGTGCCCCATTTTCCAGCTGTGGCATCCCTGGGGGTGAAGGAGCTGGAGGAGCCACGGCCCGGAGGGCTCTCCTTGGGCACCACTGAAATAGGTGCTGGGGAAAGCTGCCTGCGGCTCGCTAATGAACTATTGATGGGTCTGCGGCGTATATTCAAAATGAGCCCATAGTGATGGGGTTAGATGGCACCTCTGCCAGCGCGGGGCTCTGCCCGTGTCCGTAACGGGCTACGATCGTGTTTTGTGCTTTTCCCCACGGAGCAGGCGGGCAGGGCCGGCGCTGCGGCCGCCAGCGAGGCGCTGCGGGTGTGGGGTGTGTGTCCCGGCCGTGTGCGGCACCGAGCTGCGCCCCGCTGCCCCGGGCGCACCCGGGCCGGGCTGGGGGGCGGCTCGGGGGCTGTCGCTCCCGGGCAGCCGCTCCTCCTCCCCGCAGCTGTGCCGTGAGGGGCGGAGGATGAGGAGGGCGAGGAGGATGCCCCGTGCCGAGGCAGCCGGGCTGGCGGCGCCTCCCCCGCGCGGCGGCCCCCGCCTCCCCCCGCCTCAGCGCCTTAAATGCCTCGGCCGCGGCGGCAACAAAGGCGGGCGGCGGCTGTGAGTGAGGGGCCGGCGGTGAGTGACCGAGAGCCGGTGGGGACTGAGGGGCTGCGCTGGGGGTGAGGGGCAGCGGGGCCGGGCTGCCGGTGAATGAGCCCCCGAGGGTCGGCGGTGGGCGAGGGCTGAGGGGCCGCGGGGGTCGCAGGTGCCGCGGGAGGACGGGAAGGGCCGTGCCCGGCCCGCTCCCGCCGCTCTCGGAGTCTCGGCTCTGGCGTGAGGCGGCCCCCGGCTGTGAGTGGGCTCCGGTGGGCAGCGTGGGGCGGGCGAGCGCCAGCTCCGCTGCGGCGTAACTTCTGTTCGTTCTTCTTATTTATGTTTATAACCACGTCAGTATAAACTTCTAAGAGCGGCAGATGTGTATGGCGGCTGCCCGGGCTGCCTGTCCCCCCTGCTCCTGCTGCTCTCCCCGCTCGCCGGGGCTTTGGCGGCACAAAAGTCCTCGGTGGCTGCGGAGCCCGCCCGGAGGAGGGAGAGAGGATGGCAGAGAGGGGATGAGGCAGAGCCCGACCCCTGCCTGCCTCCGGTTTGTGCTCACCCTCGCCTGAATTTGACAGATCTCTGCTGGCCTGGGTCAGCCCGCAGCGACCCGCGAGTCGTAGCAGGGGATTTACTCTGTAATTAATTTTAGAAGTAGCTGCATTCGTCTCTACTAGTGCACAGCAGGTCAGGCTGCAGAGAGAATAAATAATGTGTAGCGTGTTTTTTGTGCTGCTGTGTACTCGTCTTTCAGGGTAAATCTCTGTTCCTGCATTTGTGAGCCCCTGGTAAATCAGGGCAGTGGATGGGGACCAGGGGGTGAAGCAGTGGGAACGGCTGCTGCTTTATGCTGTTCCCATATCTGCTTGCTGCAACTGGATCTAATCACTGGCAGTGTCAAAACAGATATATACGCAAGGGAAAAGGTGCCATGGCAGAGCAGCTGGATGTAGCAGGAGATTTTCTTGGCTGTGAGGGAGTGAGAAACCAGAGCTGCCTATTAATGTGTGAGGAATGAGTCTAATTTGTGTGACTCCTCCTTTAGTGGCACCCGCACAGGACTGCACTTGCCTAAAGACTGGTAGCTAACCTGAATTACTTTTTCTGAGCTGGGATAACTTTAAATAGATGTGAGTGCTGTGATGCAAGGCTGCATCATCCCCCTGCTCTCAGAGGGGAAGAGTGGAAGGAGACCCCAGCAGAAAAGGGTAAGTATACATAAGGTGTGTTACTGAGGGGGAAAGGGTCAGCTTTCTGTCCTCGGCTTTTGCTGCAAAAACTTGGGTATTGTACTGACCTTGGTTGTGTATGTGGAAAGTTCTCCTCATCTCCTGGTGTCCAGGACAAAATGCAAACACTCATCCATTGTGTTTCATCACAGCACTGTGGTTACTGTGTCCCAGAAGGTTTAGGTGGAGTTCTAAATGCCTGAGGAGCTCGTTTAGATGTGAGTGATGCTAAATCCTCCCCAGGAGGAAGAATATTAGCAGGAAAAATCTTCCCCAAAAGGCCCCTGGGACAGAGGCCAAGAGTGTCTAATGAGGCAGACTTTTCCTGTTAGCTGCAGCTCTTGATGTGGGAGGGTGGGGGCCTGGGGGGTTGGGGTGAGCCGATGTGGGGATCTCAGAGGGCAGGCAGCACATCGCCAGGTTTGCTCTGCTCTGGGCAGCTGATATCTTCACCTGGGCATAAACCACTGCTCTGGAGGTGATGCAGCTGCTGAGTCGAGGCAAATTGCCTGTTTTCTTCTGGTTCAGCAAATAAATTGTTTGATGATGGTGCTGCAGGGATGAGCAGCTCTGTAGTGCCAAGGTGTGTGCTGTGTCGGTGTTGGGGATAGGACAGCCAAGCAAGGCTGCAGCTTGGCTCCAGATAAATCTATCCACTGCTTTTCTTCTCTCGCTTAACGGTTGTTTCTCTTAGGTAAGCTAAATACAGTGGAAGGAGCTGTGTTTTGTGGGTTTAGGGGGAACATTGTGGGGTCCTCCGCCAAAATGCGTGCCTCTGGTAAAAGTGATGCGTGGCCTGAAATTGGAGATGGATACAATAGTGAGCTGCCACATTATCACTGGAGCTGCAGCACTCAGCTGGACGTGGATGTGTCTCTTGCTGGCAGCAAATCTGAGGTTAGGTTTCAGAAGAGAGGAATGTCTGATCATACCTACTTAATTCCTGGACACAAAAATATTTGTTGATGTGGCTTTGAGCAGGCTCTGGTGGCTGCTGTTTGTGTGCTCCATAACTTGGTTAAAACCAAAGAGTGGAAATGTAGGTGTATCATTGTTCATGGAGACCTAGTGTTTTAGGGACAAAATAGGTGAATACTTAAACCTTGTTTAGCAGTGACTGCTGGCAGAGTCATGTCCTGTGGGAGCTGGGAATACACAAGAGGAAATAGAGGTGCCTGTATGAGGTGGTCAGGGGTGATCTAAGGAAGGGCAGAGCAGATGCTGCCAGTAATGTTCTGTGTCTTACCTGTCCTTGAGACAGTGGTGCAAGAGAAGCTGCTGCAGGAGCAGATCACTGTGCATTCAGAGCTTTATGTCTCTGTGGCTCTGTCGGAGGTCAGGCAGGCACCGAGGAGCGTGTCTCCAACACCCACACAGGCACCTCAACTACAGCACCTGGGCAGCACAGTCTGACCCAGCTCCTGTCCTGCTCCAGGCTGGAGGAGCCAGCCAGGAATGGTAATGGATCAGGTTGTGTTGCCCTTTGCTCTCAGGCTGACTGATGTGGAAGAGATGATTGAATTCAAGTTCTTTGGCTGACAGTGCTTCTCCTCCCACCCTTACTCTGCTGCATTGGCAGGTTTTGGAAGGGCAGAAATGATGCTGCAGTCATGGTCCTCATCTCTTTCCTCAGGAGAGGTTCAGTGGCATGCACAGCTGCCTGTGAAAATGTCCTTCTGTTCTGTACTCAACATTCTGTAAAAGGTCTGACAGAATTGTTTTGATGATACTTTTTCAAAGTATTCAGACCTTTTTCACGGCCCTCATATTTTGGAAGAGTGATGTAAATCACAATTCTGCACAGGATTAGCAATCGGAGAGCATTATGAATCAATCTGATACTTTGTCTTAGCCATAGCCCTTCTGAGAACACTGACCTACATATTACAGCTTTCACTGTAACTGCTTCACCAAGGACAGGCTTTGCTTCCGAGGGTAAGATGGCCCAGCGGCTGGACATGTTTGTGTTTGAAGAACATTCCTGGTGGCTTCAGATGTGCTTCAAATCTGTGCTGCTTGACTGGGGAACTTGTCAATGAAGTGTGAAATACAAGTGGTTCCTTTGAATGTTCTTTTAATTATAATTGTGGTGATGAAAAAACTAGAAGATGAAATGAGATGCTTTCTGTGTAAAGTGCTCTTAGATGTCGAGCCAGCAGGGATTGCTGTTATCAGATCCTCTAATCACTTGTGTGATTAAAAACCTTGGAAAAACTTACATGTTTGAGCCACTTGATTGTAGGTAAAAATTGAGGTTTACTGCCTTTCTGAATGTCTGCTGCAGCTCAGCCTTTGGTGAGCTGTGAACCCAAAACTTCTGTAAAATCCCTCCCTGTGGGTCACCGATGGCACTGAATGTGAATGCACATCTACTTGTTCCACCTGCAGATGAGTTTTTCTGATTCCCAGAGCCACAAGGTGAACAATGGTAAAAAGTGGTGTCTGCAAAGCAGTGACTTGTCAGGCTTAAGTGCTGCCTTAAACCAATCTCTACCTGTCACTGTGATTCCAGCTGCACAGGATAGATGCTTTGGTTTGAAGGCTGCTGGGAAGCCATGGAAAATGTGTGTACTGGTGTGCACGTGCTTCCCAGCACGTTCCAGTAACACAGACCATGGTAAAGACCCTTCCAGGTGGAGCGTGTGTACAGCAGTCTGTTCACATGCAGATCTCGGGTATGGAACATCACTTGGTTGTGTGTGTGTGTCCAGGAGCTCTTCTGTGAAACCAGAGGAGGTCTGCCCTGCAGTTTTTTGTCTCAGCAGGTTCCAAGCTGTGCCTTTGCCTAATTTGAGTTTGCTGGTCACTGCAGCGTTTGGAAGCTGCCTGGGGTCCTTGGCTTGGGGTGTCTCTGAAATAAAAGCTCTGCCACCAAGTCGTCTGATGGTCTTGAATGTTTGCTTGTGGTCTGTTGCTCACAAGTTCCCACAAGCTCTGTTCTCAAACAGAGGTTGGTGTAGAAAGCTGCAGCACAGCATCTCGCAGTTTTTCTCTATAAATAGCTAAAATAAAAGGTCTGTTTGCAAGATTGGAAACAGTGCTTATAATATCTCACCTTCTAACAGGATGCTGAAGTGTGGCAACGCCTCTACTGTTTGCCTTGTCTCCTGTGCCCCAGACTCTTTTGCCTGGGAATAGTTTGTCTTTACGGGCAGAAGGGAGCTCTGTGCCAGACTTTGCTAACATTTCTCTGCACTCCTGATGCGTGTTAGCTCTGGGAACTGGCAGCTACTGAAAATGAGCTGAGCAAAGCTGCTCCTGGTACCTCGGTGCTGCTGAGGAAGTGGAGAACCCAAATGCACCCAGCACAGGATGCCAATCTGTCTGGCTGTACATCCCACACTGATCCCTGGGCACTGGCTGGCATGTTTGTCACAGAGCCCAGCTTGTGCCTGGGACTCCTAAGGCTGGTGGAAACTGGAAACAAGCTAATGCTCCCTTCTTAAATATTGCATCCATTCTGCTTACAGTGGTTGCAGCCCTTTGGATTTTCAGCTGTAAAATTTTGCAGAAAAATAAAAGTTCTTGACAGCAAGGATGAATTTTTTAACAGACATTGCAGTTTGCCCTTTGTGTCTTCGTGGTACAGCATTTGCTGGTTGGAAATCAAAGGGGTTCCAATAAACCTGTGTTCACTGGATTTTCTGCAAATACCCTGTGAGTGCCAGCAGAGTCCCAAGTGTATGGGGAGAGAGTGATGACCCTCTTTGGCATTGGAATGACAACAGAAAATGCCAGGGCAGTTGTGCAGCAATGACAGCTTTCTAAAAATGGATCTCCTGCAGACTAAAGGATGTCTGTGGTCCTGAT